AATAATACTTCTATTATATATATATATATATATATATATATATATATATATATAAATACTCTCAATCATCAAACTATAATTATATAAATTATACGAATTATTAATATAATTATAATTGTATAAATTGTATTCGTAATACAATACAAATAAAATTACTTTAAAATAAGAATTACTATTACTATTTTGATATCATGTAGATGATTTTATCTTTGCTTCAAAGCAATTATTTGAAGTCATGTTTATAAATATATGTAGTCTAAGGATATCTGCGATTGAAATATAACATATTTTGAATATATGCTGAAATTGTATATATTTTTTTCAAATTTTATAATGTATATAGATATATAAATTAGTATTAGAATTTCAAATTACTGCTAAAATCAAAATATTATTTTGATTAATATTACATTACATATAAAAATTTCAACGTATTTATTTTCGTAATATAATTAAATATTTGAAACTGATGTGCAGGTTCATGAAATATTAAAGTTAACACGTGTACATGCTTTATATAATATTATTTGAATCTTAATAGATATCAATTTTTAACCAATAATAAGTTGCAACACTTGTCACGTGATTTAGTCCATTTATTTTCGATAACTTAACCGCTTAACATAAGCAAGCATATAATCATCGACTAACTTTTAGTGTCAATATCGTTAATGCTTTTTTAAATTAAGAGGCTATTTTGAAAATTTTCTATTTTTAATTTAATATTTGCATTTATTTAAAATGTCCAATATGTTTAAAAGAAGACTTCAAGCATTGGGATATCTAGAATGGGACAAAGTTAATATAAATGGTTTGTATTTACATTCAACAAATTTTTTAAATTAATAAATATTTTAATATATTGAAATAACTATTTATAATTTTAAATTTTTTAAAATATTTATTAATTTTAAGAAATATTTAATTTTTTTGAATATTTTCATTCTTTAAAAGTTTTACATTAAGTTATTGATTTATAGATACACTTTTTTTTATAGGTTATAACGGCCGGTATAAAAACATTAAAACATTAAATCTATTGCTTTTTATATTTAAATCAAAGATTTAAAATTGCATAATATTTGAATAACATATTTATATAAAAATTTGATAATTATAACTTATAAAAACATAATTTTTATTATTAAATCATTATATTATATTCATTCATCAAATCATATATAATTTTTAATTCAATAATTTGTATACATATATAATATATATAGAACGTTTCTTTTAATTAGATAATATTTTGAGAATATTAAAAAAATTTTAATATAAAATTATTGAATATTTTTGCTTGTTATACAGATACAATATATAGATAAATTATATTTTTTGTAGTTCAATTTTTTGTTCATAATTCATAGTAATAATTGTTAAGGAAAATTCAATCTGCCATATACAATCATTTATTATAGTATAAAATAATAAGGTTAATATTAATTAGAAATATAGAAAACTAATAACTATTAAATAAAAACAAATAAGTATTCTTGATTTTCTAAAAATTTATAATCAAGTTCTTTATTAAACCAATGATCATATTTAAATACCCTATTAGTTATTGTGAAATCAAATTTAAATATCCTATTAATGGAGATGTGAGCATGATAGTTTTTAAAAAAATTATATAAAATCAACAAGTAAAGATAAAATTTCAAAATTTTGCATGCATAATATTAAAAGATTGAACTCGCAAATATATATCAGCTAGTATGAATTTACATATGATAAATGCCATAGCAACTTCATACAACTCTAACTTGTCATTTGATGCAATTGGGTTAAATGATAGAAATAATATATGATCTTTGAATTTTTTTTAACGAATAAATAATATCATGAATGATGAATGAATGAATGAATGAATTTATTATAATGAATATCATATTATGAATAAAAAAATATTTGATTTCATTTAAAAAAATTAACTTTGAAATTAACTTTATTACTTAATCTCTAAAAATAAATAATAATTTATATTATATGATATATAATATATAAAATTTTCTAACATTTATAGTTACTCAAAACTCTTATATTAATTGATAAATAATCTCATTATTTTATAAAATTTAATTTATGAATAATATATATCTAAAATCTTGTATAATTTATATTTTTTGTATAGATAGAAAAATAAAATATATTATATTTATATTTATATTTATCAAAATATTGTATATAATGAAATATTATATTTGTAACAAAATTTCATTCATTATATTTAATATTAAATTTTTTACTTATTATTTAAGTAAATTTAAGATTATTTATGTTATTTCAAGTTTAAGATTATATCTGTTATGTAGTTAAACAAAATTAAAATATTATAGATGTACAACATTTTCGAAAAATTACACTTTGGTTAGAAGATCAAAAGATACGTCAGTATGATATACAAGATCGAAAAGAGCTGCGTGACATAAAAAGTGAAAGTTGGTCTAAAGCATTTGCTAAATACTGCAATGATGTTAAATGTCCAGTTTCAAATAATACTGTGGATCAACTTGAATGGTTAATTGGATATGCAATTTGGTTGGAAGCAGAAAATAATAGTAAGTTAATAAATTAAGTTAATTTATCAATGAATTATTAAAAATTAAATAATATGTTTAATATATATTAAATATTTAATATATGATTATTATATTTAAACTTTATCATATATATAAAAGATTTTATAAAATTTTAGGTAATTATAAAGAAAAGGACGTATTTTGATTTCAATGATTTTGAAATATATGGAACAATTTTTATTTATACATATAACTGTTGTTTAATTTTCGAGATATTCGTAAAAATATTTTTAAAATTATATATTTAATACTTATATATTTTTTAAGATTATATATTATATTTTTATATTAAATTGGCTTAAAAATTTTTTTTTGAGATCCAATCATTCTTATTTGTTTTTTTACCATTTGAGAGAATTATCAAATATGTCCTTGAAAATTAAAGAAGTCAAATCATATTTCGAATTTTAAAATGCAAATTTAATTTGAATATAATTTTAAACATTTTTCATAAAATAATTTTTTTCTATCTCAAAATTGAAATAATAATAGAATAAGAAAATATATGAAAATTATTTTTTCGAATAATTAATGAACGATTTTTGATAATTATTTATAAATTCCAATGATATTGATTTTGATATATATATTGTCGAAATCATCATTCTGTATAACTTTTTTTTATAATTTAATCATCAGTCTTTTGCAATTTTTGAGATACTTTGATAAATATTTTAAAAACTATAAGAGACTGATGATTAAGTTATAAGAAAAAATTACTCAGGATGATATTTTTAATAATATAGTATTGGAAAATGTAGAAAAATTAGCATTTTTACATATAAATTCGAAATAAAAACATATATCTATTATTTATTTCGAATATTATTTTGTTTCATATTTCACCTTTATAATTTTATAGTCTTGAATTATAAAATATATAAAATTATTGTTTTATTTAATAAAGCTAAATAAGCTTTCAAAATAAGATTTTCTGTTTCAAAATTTTTAAAAATGACAAAATTTCGATATATTTGAGAATGCTAATATTCTCGAGTCATAAAATATTTTTAAAAATCCAATGCATTCCGATTCGTTGCAAAGTATTAAGTTTTTTATATTTTCGAGTTTTTGAGTTTTTGATTGTAGCACAATATTTGAGAAATATTTTATTTAAATTTTATCTAAATTTTGGATGTAAAATGTATCATCAGCATATTGATATATTTTTCAAAATTATGATTATGTTATATATTACAAAATCATGAAATTTAACAAACATTAATAAATAAACTATATATTTATTATATTATTATATCATACTTTAATAATGTATTAAAATTTTAATATATTAATTAAATTTCTAACATTGAATTCTATGTAATATAAGATTGTCTTATCAAAAAGTAACGTAAATTAATCCAAATTCAATATTTTAATCTACAGTAGAAAATTGCATAAATGAAAAATTTTAATTTCCTAATGAACAATAAAAACAATTAAAATTTTTTAAAAATTAAAAAAAATGGCATATATATCGAAATAAAATCATTGAAACTAATTTAATTTAAATTTCTCTATTATATAATTATATACGATATGCAATATTATAAATATTTTTGCTAATATCTCAAAAATTGAATATATATATACGCAATACATATATCCGCATATACCCGGGCGACAGAAAGAAATAATTATAGTTTTCTATTTTTTATATATTTCTTATTTTTTTTTAATTATATATAATAGGCTGAAGGAAATGTTTAAAATAATTTTTTTTCCTTTCTTCAAAGTTTTAATAATGTCATTTTATTCTAATACTTTTATTTTTTATGCTATATTACTTATATTGATTTTTTACGTATTTATGAATTACACTACTGTATATTTTTGCTTTTATATAACCCATAAAAAATAATTGAAAAAAATTAATTTTAATCCGGATGCATTACACAGCTTACATTTTTTGAGAATTGATTTATATTTCAAAGAAAGAATTTTGAATGTTTTCTAGAATTTAACTTAATCTAACCTAATCTAATCTATGAATAAAAAAATAAAAAAATGCATTTAAAATAAAAAATTTATTCTATATTCTATTTCAATTATGAATGGAATTTATTTTTTAAAATGGATCAATTTATAATATATATATATATTGAATCAGAATGAATTTTATCAAATATATTTGTAAAATTATTCAGTTTTCTTTTGGAACATGAATATATAAAAAAAAATTATTAAGAATGTTGTTTTACATCATAAGTATATTTCACGAATATATTTCAAACAATATATTTCAGATTATAAGAATTTAATAAATTTTTTTCCAATATGTATAATTATCAATATAATCAAATTTTAATATGTTATTGTATTCTATAATTAAATGAAACAAAAATTAGCAATTTAATATCATATATTGTTATTGTTATTGGTACTTTTGCATAATATAAAAAGAAATACAAAAGAATAATAATATAATATTCTATTTCAGTTGAAGAATATTCTCAAAATGTAAAAGAAATAAAATTGAAAATGAAACAGAAAGCAATGGTACCTCATCTAAAATCCAAGAATCCACTTGACAATTTAAACTGTGAGTATGAGATAAATATAATTTTTTAAATTATCTAATATTTCTTAAATTTTAAATATATTTATTTTTAAATAACGTTTTACATTTTAATTATTTTATTATTTTGTATCTTTAATAATAAAAATGATAAAACATGTATAAATATTTTGAAATGCTTATTATGTCTTATTTTTTGCCTTTATTCCATATAATTTATTAATATTTTTCATATTAAAATTTAATGCAATTATGTTCTTTTAAATTTTCTATATTATTTTTTTATTTACATAAATTATTTTATATTTCTTTATATTATATAAATAAATAAATCTTTCATGTATTCATTAAAAAATAATTATATATAAAAGATATATAAAATCAAAATATAATATTTAAATTAATAAACTATATATATTATATATATATATATATATATATATATATATATATA